GCAGGTTAGTCCACCAGGTATAACTAGGGTGTAGACACCAAATTATCCTCTTTGAGGTAGCTTCCATCACCCAGTAACTGGTGCACAAATCTTGCATCCTCGTCTTGACCTGTCAAAAGGGCGCTAACTGTGAAGCCAGAATCCTATATATGACAAGCTATATCAGAGAAAACACTGTACATGGAACAATAAAGACCTGGCTTAATTACCTTTAGTATGAGGCGATTTCGCGTTCTAACCGGCTAACCCTACCCAATGACATTAATGGCCACTAATGATAGATAATGGGTTTCGGAAAGAACACTTAACTTGAATTTGTAGACAGCGTGTTGATAATGGTACACTTTTGGTTTCCATAACACTACGTCCAAGTAAATTTAACAGGAGCCGAATTTGCTCCCGTGTGAGCCTCTGGTCTAGTATAAACAATGGCTGCATCTAACACTCCATACTATTGACGCCTGGCCGACATTGTCCAGATATGATAGGAGCCAAATTTGCTCCACACGTCTCGGAGGTGACACAACAATGGCTGCCCTCCTTCCTCCCTCTGACGCCTGGCTTACATTGTCCACATGTCAGAAAGTGATAGAAGGGTCACATTTACTCTACTTTAATATTGATAATTAAGTTAATTTATATAAGATGTTTTTATGATGGTAAAGTCCAAAGACTAATGTATTTAAGAATAATTCCCAGCAGAATAGCTGGTGAATTATAATAGTATGTGGTGATGATATCCCGTTTTCTATAGACGGTAATTCCACTACAAGTTACGTTTTCTATGGGTAACTTGTTTATACAACACAGCTATTATCTGTATGATTATTAAATGGTGTCGGATTTTCCGACAGGGTACTTATCAACTGGGTGCCAAGTCATGTGGGAATAATAGGAAATGACATTGCAGACGAAGCTGCAAAACTTGCAACTAAGAGAAGAAATGTAGACATTTACATACCACAGAGTCTATCACAGATTAAGAAATTAATTAGAAACAGAGCAATGCAAAAGATGTACAGTGACCACAACACAGCAGTTGCAACATCAGGATCTGCGGGTTGGTACAAGAATTCAACCAACTACGAACCACTTAGTTTGATGAAAGGGAGCAGTAGAGCAGCAGAAGTGCATTTACATCGCACCAGGCTTGGATACCCATGTGCATGGGAAATAGGCTTACAGGTTCCGGAAGATGAGAGGAAATGTCAGCACTGTGGAGAAATGACCGACAGACCACTGGAACATTATCTAACACAGTGCAAAGTTACAAACCCATTAAGATTTCAACTTAAATTCAACAGAGCAGAAAAAGTTGTTAAACACATATGGCAAAATCTTACTGAAGCGACCATTCGAGTCATAAATACTCATACTCTGCCCAAGTAAAACAGAAACAAGCAACACTTAGTGGGCCAGCCAGAGGCTTAGCGCCCGTGCAGGAATATCCGTGAAAAAAAAAACACAGTTGGGGGCAACAGAGCCTGTCGGACTCACATTCACGAGTGAAATGGGAACCAGAGCATTTGCCACAACGGACGTCATTGGTACAGCCATGGGAGGTATGGTGAAAACCCTTACAACGAAAGCACTCAGTGGGACGGGGAACGTACACCTCCAATTTATGGAGGAAGTCATTAATCCAAACCCGATCATGGGGGGAGAGAGTCAAGAAAAGTAAGGAGGGCAGTGCCGGTATCACACAGATCGCCATCAATACTACGCATAAATGTCCTAACACCAAAGACCGGAATGTCAGCATCCTGCAGTTGTGCCTTGATGTCGTCCGCACTAACGTCAACAACAAGCCGGACCACATATCGTACCAAACTGTCACCCACAGGCGTATAACAACGGACCTTGTAACCACAGATATCAGTAACGTCCGAAAGCATCAAGTCCCCGGAGGAAGCGTGGTCCACGGCAATCAAGTTCCTGCGTTTATTCGGCCAGAAATCGTGCACCTTGATTTGAAAGAACTCGGGAACGACTTGATAGAAAAAACTACGTGTCCTACTAGTTCCAAAAACACTCCGATCAGCGGGCGTATCGGCATCAAAGGCGATGATGAACCATGAACGTACGTAGGTCAGGAAAACTCATCTGACCGGGAGGGAGTGGAGACAGGTTGCGGGGGTCACAGGGCACCGCAGGACGCAGGCGACGTTTCGCTTCCAATCTATTAGCCTTACTATGATGTTTACTGTTCAGAAAAACACCCTTGGGACCCCTTCCAAGACCGGGAGAACGTCGTGACCGGAATGCGTGCCACGGGACAACAGGTCCTGAAAACCCTCAAAGGGATCGGAAATGTCCACGGGAGAAACGCTGCGCGAACCACCATCCGCCATGGTCGGCCGGCTGATGCAGATTACATATTTTTCTCAGGTCTGTTGTTGTGGTGATTTAGGGGCGACGACGATCGTGGGATCGGATGCGCCCTTTCTCAGGTCTTCAACCCTACTTCGTCTTGCTCTTTGTTTACATAGATGGCGTGCGGGTCGCAGCGCCAAATTCAAACTTGTAGCAGCGTCGACTCGGAACACAAGTGTCTTCCATTGACACTTAATCACCATTATATATATATGGCAGCTTCCACGCTAAAATGATGTGAAATGAAACCCTGTCATTAGTAACATATATTTATTAACATTTCTAATATGGCACTTTATATATTATAATCGTATTTACTCTGGAAGTATAAATATATATATATGTATATATTTATGTATATGTGCAGCGTGTATCACAGTAGTGTTTGTGGTTCAATATACTGATTCGTTATAATATGGTATATATATATATATATATCACAAAGAAACTCTATTTGACCAGGCCAGGATTCGAACCCATGCCATCCAGGATCACCCCTAAACGTACACAGTACCGTGAACACCGCACCTATGATCGTCTGGCCGGGTCAAATAGAGTTCTTAGTGATCTACAGCTTGCGCGTTCATGCAGCTACACACACACACACACACACACACACACACACACACACACACACACACACACACACACACACACACACACACACACACACACACACACACACACACACACACACACACGCACACACACACACACACACACACACACACACACACACACACACACACACACACACACACACATACACACACACACACACACACACACACACACGGGTGTATTCCGCTTCTCGGTATATATATATACATTATGAGTATACTTTAGTCCTGGACAATATTCAGGACTAAAGTATATTTGTCGGCTGGTCAGTAAGGTATTGTGGTGACCATAATTCCATAAAGTCCTCCACGAAACTTTCGAGCAGCGGTGTAATAGTACCTATAGTATGATTTGATTAAAAATGCTCCTAGATACAAAAGTACATAAACTATTAAATTATTTTCACATATAAATATGTACAACAAGATCTTGGTTACAGAAGACGTGGCAAACTATTTACATTCTGAAAGGATGAGTTTGGTCATAGATTTGTCCATCTGGGGGGGGGAGGGGGGAGGGGGACTCCGGCTTTGGTAATATGGTTTCGTCTCCATATATTAACCTCATACAGCTTCCTCTTTGTCAACAACTGCCTTTCTCGGTTCGCCTGATACTTTCTCCTCTCTCCTGATACTTCATGACATCACCTGATACGTCATCACCTCAAGGACCGCAGGATACATATAGCGAGTGGTTCTTCTACCTTACCACCGCTCCTGTGTCAGGTAAGTCCATTACGGGCTCACCATAGCCCGTGCTACTTGCCCCGCTCCTGCGCCAGGTAAGTCCACTACGGGCTCACCATAGCCCGTGCTACTTGCCCCGCTCCTGCGCCAGGTAAGTCCACTACGGGCTCACCATAGCCCGTGCTACTTGCCCCGCTCCTGTGCCAGGTAAGTCCACTACGGGCTCACCATAGCCCGTGCTACTTGCCCCGCTCCTGCGCCAGGTAAGTCCACTACGGGCTCACCATAGCCCGTGCTACTTGCCCCGCTCCTGTGCCAGGTAAGTCCACTACGGGCTCACCATAGCCCGTGCTACATGCCCCGCTCCCGTGCCAGGTAAGTTACGGGCTCACCATAGCCCGTGCTACATGCCCCGCTCCCGTGCCAGGTAAGTTACGGGCTCACCATAGCCCGTGCTGCTTGGAACTTGTTCCCAGTAGCTGAATCTAAGACAACAAGAACATTCTACCTGATATATGGTTCTCTTACTCAAGGTCTCCTGCGCCCAGAACAGGAGCCAAGTATGGGGTGAAGTGGTATTGTTGTATTTAATAAGAGACAATCGTGCATGGGACGTATTCATTTAAGATACTATATATATGCAACTCTTTGGACGGAATTATGTCTTAATGTCGCGAACTGAGCCAGTATTCATCAAATATTTACGCGTCTACTTACGAAACCTGTACATCTTTCCTCCATCATGATAGCTTAGTATACATTAACTAGACCGTTCGTGAGCACCGAAGCGCTACGAGGTTGTGTATAATAATATCCTTGGGTTGCGAAGTCTCTAAGCTCCTAAACTGTGTGATAAATACAGATTGACGAAAGATGTACAGACTTCGTAGGTGGAGACGCAAAGGCTTGATGAATACTGGACCTGGTGTGAGCGTGGGGAAGAAGGACGTATAGGGACGACACTCTCATGGCCGCACCTCCCTCTGGCACTCCCACGGGGAGTTATCGAAGTAACTTCACCAGACGATCACAGGACAACCCGTTCTCGCAAATTCGTAAAGTCAATATTGACTTATTAACTACGTGCATAGGTGATATACTAACCATAATAGATACCCTTAAAAAGATTCATAGAAAACACCGACCTTACCTAACCTTGTTAGTATCTTAAGATAAGCATTTTATTGCTTCGTAATTACAATTATTACCTAACCTATACCTATTATAGGTTAGGTAATAATTGTAATTACGAAGCAATAAGATGCTTATCTTAACATACTAAGTAGGTTAGGTAAGGTCGGTGTTTTCTATGAATCTTTTTAAGGGTATCTATTATGTTAAGTATGTCACCTATGCACATATTTAATAACACAGGAAGCACTGAGATTGTTGTCTAGTTGACGTCTCCGCGTCTCTGTCCTCAGCACTGCGACCCGGCGCTGTTACATGCACAGTACTTCTCTTACAATACTGATAATCTTACCCACTCATGTGAAAAGCAATGATGACCAGACCACACATCAAAAAATTAAGAAACGACGACGTTTCGGTCCGTTCTGGACCATTATGAAGTCCTGGACGGTCCGAAACGTCGTCAGTTCTTTTTCTTTCCATATGTGTCAGTTGGGAATACATTTTTAGCCACGTTATTTTGACTTACTTTCTCCACATAAAATACTCTAGCGTTTGATTAAGATTCTTTGGGTTCGTGAACCATATTAATAACTTTTGATTAGTGTTATTTTCAGGAGGCGTCGAAGCTCACAAGTTTGTTATTTAAAACAAAAGAGAGCGAGACACGAACCCTGGCTATTGCCTGTGTTGCCGGATACGTAAACAAAGGCGACTCACTCTGGCTAGATCTGGTTCGAAGCCTAAGGAGGACACTGAAGGAAACGTGGATCTTCTGCTGCTCCTGAAAGCCGTGTTGAGCCTCGGGAGAACTACTTGAGGAGGACGTTGCCGGAGTTGTGGTCCCTTCGCTGTTGCTCCTTCATGATGGGGCTGACTCTCAGGAAAGCTGCTTCAGAAGAGCGTTGATAGCGTTGATGGAGTCATTAATTCTCTGCTGTTCCTTCAGGGCGGGATCCAGCGGCCCTCTGCTGCGCCGCTGCTCGTGTCTCGCCCGACCTGCTTTAAAACAACCACCTCATTACAGACTCATAATAACATGAGTAATGGAAGCTGCAGAAAGTCTATTGGTCCATACGAGGCGGCTCTTATTGGCCAGTACGAGGCAGCTCCTATTGGCCCATACGAGGCAGCTCCTATTGGCCCATACGAGGCAGCTCCTATTGGCCCATACGAGGCAGCTCCTATTGGCCCATACGAGGCGGCTCTTATTGGCCCATACGAGGCAGCTCCTATTGGCCCATACGAGGCAGCTCCTATTGGCCCATAAGAACATAAGAACATAAGAACAAAGGTAACTGCAGAAGGCCTATTGGCCCATACGAGGCAGCTCCTATTCTATAACCACCCAATCCCACTCATATACTTGTCCAACCCGCGCTTGAAACAATCGAGGGACCCCACCTCCACCACGTTACGCGGCAATTGGTTCCACAAATCTACAACCCTGTTACTGAACCAGTATTTACCCAAGTCTTTCCTAAATCTAAACTTATCCAATTAACTTGCCATACGAGGCAGCTCCTATTGGTCCATACGAGGCGGCTCTTATTGGTCCATACGAGACAGCTCCTATTGGCCCATACGAGGCAGCTCCTATTGGTCCATACGAGGCAGCTCCTATTGGTCCATACGAGGCAGCTCCTATTGGCCCATACGAGGCAGCTCCTATTGGCCCATACGAGGCAGCTCCTATTGGCCCATACGAGGCAGCTCCTATTGGCCCATACGAGGCAGCTCCTATTGGCCCATACGAGGCCCAAACCTATCTATATATATGTCTAACCTACGCTTGAAACAATGCAGGGATTGTTATGTTATCCGGTAATTTGTTCCATAAATCAAAACTTTAATGTCTTGCGTTTAGATTAGAGTTTATCAAGCTTACCTCTAGGGCAAAGTTTAGAAAGGTTACCCCTAGGGCAGAGTTTAGAGAGGTTACCCCTGGGGCAGAGTTTAGAGAGGTTACTCCTAGGGCAGAGTTTAGAGAAGTTACCTCTAGGGCAGAGTTTAGAGAGGTTACCCCTAGGGCAGAGTTTAGAGAGGTTACCTCTAGGGCAGAGCTTAGAGAGCTTACCCCTAGGGCAGAGTTTAGAGAGCTTACCCCTAGGGCAGAGTTTAGAAAGGTTACCCCTAGGGCAGAGTTTAGAGAGGTTACCCCTAGGGCAGAGTTTAGAGAGCTTACCCCTAGGGCAGAGTTTAGAGAGGTTACCCCTGGGGCAGAGTTTAGAGATGTTACCCCTAGGGCAGAGTTTAGAGAGCTTACCCCTAGGGCAGAGTTTAGAGAGCTTACCCCTAGGGCAGAGTTTAGAGAGCTTACCCCTAGGGCAGAGTTTAGAGAGGTTACCCCTAGGGCAGAGTTTAGAGAGGTTACCCCTAGGGCAGAGTTTAGAGAGGTTACCTCTAGGGCAGAGTTTAGAGATGTTACTCCTAGGGCAGAGTTTAGAGATGTTACCCCTAGGGCAGAGTTTAGAGAGGTTACCCCTGGGGCAGAGTTTAGAGAGCTTACCCCTAGGGCAGAGTTTAGAGAGGTTACCCCTGGGGCAGAGTTTAGAGAGGTTACTCCTAGGGCAGAGTTTAGAAGGGTTACCTCTAGGGCAGAGTTTAGAGAGGTTACCCCTAGGGCAGAGTTTAGAGATGTTACTCCTAGGGCAGAGTTTAGAGATGTTACTCCTAGGGCAGAGTTTAGAGAGGTTACCCCTAGGGCAGAGTTTAGAGAGCTTACCCCTAGGGCAGAGTTTAGAGATGTTACCCCTAGGGCAGAGTTTAGAGAGGTTACCCCTAGGGCAGAGTTTAGAGAGCTTACCCCTAGGGCAGAGTTTAGAGAGGTTACCCCTGGGGCAGAGTTTAGAGAGGTTACTCCTAGGGCAGAGTTTAGAAGGGTTACCTCTAGGGCAGAGTTTAGAGAGGTTACCCCTAGGGCAGAGTTTAGAGATGTTACTCCTAGGGCAGAGTTTAGAGAGGTTACCCCTAGGGCAGAGTTTAGAGAGCTTACCCCTAGGGCAGAGTTTAGAGATGTTACCCCTAGGGCAGAGTTTAGAGAGGTTACCCCTAGGGCAGAGTTTAGAGAGCTTACCCCTAGGGCAGAGTTTAGAGAGGTTACCTCTAGGGCAGAGTTTAGAGAGGTTACCCCTAGGGCAGAGATTAGAGATGTTACCCCTGGGGCAGAGTTTAGAGAGCATACCTCTGGGGCAGAGTTTAGAGAGCTTACCTCTGGGGAAGAGTTTAGAGAGCATACCTCTGGGGCAGAGTTTAGCAAGCTTACCTCTGGGGCAGAGTTTAGAGAGCTTACCTCTGGGGCAGAGTTTAGCAAGCTTACCTCTGGGGTAGAGTCTGGTGCGCCCTCCAGCTGTCGGACGGTCGGTGAAGCACTTCTCAATGTTGCTTCCCTCCACCACTATGTCGTCTGGTCTCCCTCCCTCGCCGCCTCCCTCACCACCTCCCTCACCAGTGGTGGCGCTGTAACACCACATCCTTGGTTAATATATATGTAACACTGCTTAAACAGCAGTGTGTTCAAAATTTCCCAGCACCGCTCCTGTGCCAGGTAAGTCCGCTACGGGCTCACCATAGCCCGTGCTACTTGCCCCGCTCCTGTGCCAGGTAAGTCCGCTACGGGCTCACCACAGCCTGTGCTACTTGCCCCGCTCCTGTGCCAGGTAAGTCCACTACGGGCTCACCACAGCCCGTGCTACTTGCCCCGCGCCTGTGCCAGGTAAATCCACTACGGGCTCACCACAGCCTGTGCTACTTGCCCCGCTCCTGTGCCAGGTAAATCCACTACGGGCTCACCACAGCCTGTGCTACTTGCCCCGCTCCTGTGCCAGGTAAGTCCACTACGGGCTCACCATAGCCCGTGCTACTTGCCCCGCTCCTGTGCCAGGTAAATCCACTACGGGCTCACCACAGCCCGTGCTACTTGCCCCGCTCCTGTGCCAGGTAAGTCCACTACGGGCTCACCATAGCCCGTGCTACTTGCCCCGCTCCTGTGCCAGGTAAGTCCACTACGGGCTCACCATAGCCCGTGCCACTTGCCCCGCTCCTGTGCCAGGTAAGTCCACTACGGGCTCACCATAGCCCGTGCCACTTGCCCCGCTCCTGTGCCAGGTAAGTCCACTACGGGCTCACCATAGCCCGTGCTACTTGCCCCGCTCCTGTGCCAGGTAAGTCCACTACGGGCTCACCATAGCCCGTGCCACTTGCCCCGCTCCTGTGCCAGGTAAGTCCACTACGGGCTCACCACAGCCTGTGCCACTTGCCCCGCTCCTGTGCCAGGTAAGTTATGGGTTCACCATAGCCCGTGCTACTTGCCCCGCTCCTGTGCCAGGTAAGTCCACTACGGGCTCACCACAGCCTGTGCCACTTGCCCCGCTCCTGTGCCAGGTAAGTCCGCTACGGGCTCACCACAGCCTGTGCCACTTGCCCCGCTCCTGTGCCAGGTAAGTCCACTACGGGTTCACCATAGCCCGTGCTACTTGGAACTTGTTCCGAGTAGCTGAATCTATAACAACAACAACAAACAGCAGTGACTACGGGTTGAGTGAGGTCTAGCTCCCGTGCTCCGCCTGCTGGCCTCGTCCTACTTTCTATCAATTTAAAGATTGTCCTTAAATCACCCTGTCTATTCCCCACGGTATTTTGTATGTCGTGAACACACTCCTCTGTTTCTTCATTCCTTCAGGGTAGTGAGGTTCCGTTAACCTGTCTTATACGGTGGAAACCTCAGAGAATTATGGGACAGGTTACGGGAGCTCAACCTCACAGCACTAGAGGAGAGGAGAAACGGGAGATATGATCACTACATACAGGATATTTACTTGAATTACGAAGTTTAGTGAAAGGTACACAGAGGGTGGGGGGAGGTACACAGAGGGTGGGGGAGGTACACAGAGGGTGGGGGAGGTACACAGAGGGTGGGGGAGGTACACAGAGGGTGGGGGAGGTACACAGAGGGTGGGGGAGGTACACAGAGGGTGGGGGAGGTACACAGAGGGTGGGGGAGGTACACAGAGGGTGGGGGAGGTACACAGAGGGTGGGGAAGGTACACAGAGGGTGGGGGAGGTACACAGAGGGTGGGGGAGGTACACAGAGGGTGGGGGAGGTACACAGAGGGTGGGGGAGGTACACAGAGGGTGGGGAAGGTACACAGAGGGTGGGGGAGGTACACAGAGGGTGGAGGAGGTATACAGAGGGTGGGGGAGGTACACAGAGGGTGGGGGAGGTACACAGAGGGTGGGGGGAGGTACATAGAGGGTGGGGGAGGTACACAGAGGGTGGGGGAGGTACACAGAGGGTGGGGGAGGAACACAGAGGGTGGGGGAGGTACACAGAGGGTGGAGGAGGTATACAGAGGGTGGGGGAGGTACACAGAGGGTGGGGGAAGGTACACAGAGGGTGGGGGAGGAACACAGAGGGTGGAAAAGGTACACAGAGGGTGGGGGAGGTACACAGAGGGTGGGGGGAGGTACATAGAGGGTGGGGGAGGTACACAGAGGGTGGGGGAGGTACACAGAGGGTGGGGGAGGTACACAGAGGGCGGGGAAGGTACACAGAGGGTGGGGGAGGTACACAGAGGGTGGGGGAGGTACACAGAGGGTGGGGGAGGTACACAGAGGGTGGGGAAGGTACACAGAGGGTGGGGGAGGTACACAGAGGGTGGAGGAGGTACACAGAGGGTGGGGGAGGTACACAGAGGGTGGGGAAGGTACACAGAGGGTGGAGGAGGTACACAGAGGGTGGGGGGAGGTACATAGAGGGTAGGGGAGGTACACAGAGGGTGGGGGAGGTACACAGAGGGTGGGGGAGGTACACAGAGGGTGGGGAAGGTACACAGAGGGTGGAGGAGGTACACAGAGGGTGGGGGAGGTACACAGAGGGTGGGGGAGGTACACAGAGGGTGGGGAAGGTACACAGAGGGTGGGGGAGGTACACAGAGGGTGGGGGAGGTACACAGAGGGTGGGGGAGGTACACAGAGGGTGGGGAAGGTACACAGAGGGTGGGGGAGGTACACAGAGGGTGGGGGGAGGTACATAGAGGGTGGGGGAGGTACACAGAGGGTGGGGGAGGTACACAGAGGGTGGGGGAGGTACACAGAGGGTGGGGAAGGTACACAGAGAGTGGAGGAGGTACACAGAGGGTGGGGGAGGTACACAGAGGGTGGGGGAGGTACACAGAGGATGGGGAAGGTACACAGAGGGTGGGGGAGGTACACAGAGGGTGGGGGAGGTACACAGAGGGTGGGGGAGGTACACAGAGGGTGGGGAAGGTACACAGAGGGTGGGGGAGGAACACAGAGGGTGGGGGAGGTACACAGAGGGTGGGGGAGGTACACAGAGGGTGGGGGAGGTACACAGAGGGTGGGGGAGGTACACAGAGGGTGGGGAGGTACACAGAGGGTGGGGGAGGTACACAGGGGGGGGGAGGTACACAGAGGGTGGGGGAGGTACACAGAGGGAGGGGGAGGTACACAGAGGGTGGGGGAGGTACACAGAGGGTGGGGGAGGTACACAGAGGGTGGGGGAGGTACACAGAGGGAGGGGGAGGTACACAGAGGGTGGGGGAGGTTCACAGAGAGTGGGGGAGGTACACAGAGGGTGGGGAGGTACACAGAGGGTGGGGGAGGTACACAGAGGGTGGGGGAGGTACACAGAGGGTGGGGGAGGTACACAGAGGGTGGGGGAAGGTACACAGAGGGTGGGGGAGGTACACAGAGGGTGGGGGAGGAACACAGAGGGTGGGGGAGGTACACAGAGGGTGTTTCCTCACCTTTTAAGTTTAGTATTGAGGTACTCGCGGACGTCTGTGAGGAGCTGATCAACCTCCCTGTTGACGGCAGCAGCTGCCCTGCTGGGGGCGGGGGCGCCGTCACGCCCAGGGCGCCTACTCCGCCGCCGGCCTCCTGGGGAGCCTCCTGCAGGAGGCCCTGCCCGGCCTCCACGACCTGTAAGACATCTTGAGAACTTGCACATCGATACTCGATGCCGTGTTGACGTCTGACGCACTCACACATCGTGTGTGTGTGTGTGTGTGTGTGTGTGTGTGTGTGTGTGTGTGTGTGTGTGTGTGTGTGTGTGTGTGTGTGTGTGTGTGTGTGTGTGTGTGTGTGTGTGTGTGTGTGTGTGTGTGTGTGTGTGTGTGTGTGTGTGTGTACTCACCTATATGTACTCACCTATATGTGCTTGCAGGATCGAGCATTGACTCTTGGATCCCGCCTTTCGAGCATCGGTTGTTTACAGCAATGACTCCTGTCCCATTTCCCTATCATACCTGGTTTTAAAATTATGAATAGTATTTGCTTCCACAACCTGTTCCTGAAGTGCATTCCATTTCCCCACTACTCTCACGCTAAAAGAAAACTTCCTAACATCTCTGTGACTCATCTGAGTTTCAAGCTTCCATCCATGTCCTCTCGTTCTGTTACTATTCCGTGTGAACATTTCGTCTATGTCCACTCTGTCAATTCCTCTGAGTATCTTATACGTTCCTATCATGTCCCCCCTCTCCCTTCTTCTTTCTAGTGTCGTAAGGCACAGTTCCCTCAGGCGCTCTTCATACCCCATCCCTCGTAGCTCTGGGACGAGTCTCGTTGCAAACCTCTGAACCTTTTCCAGTTTCATTATATGCTTCTTCAGATGGGGACTCCATGATGAGGCGGCATACTCTAAGACTGGCCTTACGTAGGCAGTGTAAAGCGCCCTAAATGCCTCCTTACTTAGGTTTCTGAATGATGTTCTAACTTTTGCCAGTGTAGAGTACGCTGCTGTCGTTATCCTATTAATATGTGCCTCAGGAGATAGATTAGGTGTTACGTCCACCCCCAGGTCTCTTTCACGCGTCGTTACAGGTAGGCTGTTCCCCTTCATTGTGTACTGTCCCTTTGGTCTCCTATCTCCTAGTCCCATTTCCATAACTTTACATTTGCTCGTGTTGAATTCTAGTAGCCATTTCTCTGACCATCTCTGCAATCTGTTCAGGTCCTCTTGGAGGATCCTGCTGTGTGTGTGTGTGTGTGTGTGTACTCACCTAATTGTACTCACCTAATTGTGCTTGCGGGGGTTGAGCTCTGGCTCTTTGGTCCCGCCTCTCAACCGTCAATCAACTGGTGTACAGATTCCTGAGCCTATTGGGCTCTATCATATCTACATTTGAAACTGTGAATGGAGTCAGCCTCCACCACATCACTTCCTAATGCATTCCATTTGCTAACTACTCTGACACTGAAAAAGTTCTTTCTAACGTCTCTGTGGCTCATTTGGGTACTCAGCTTCCACCTGTGTCCCCTTGTTCGCGTCCCACCAGTGTTGAAAAGTTCGTCCTTGTTTACCCGGTCGATTCCCCTGAGGATTTTGTAGGTTGTGATCATGTCCCCCCTTACTCTTCTGTCTTCCAGTGTCGTGAGGTGCATTTCCCGCAGCCTTTCCTCATAACTCATGCCTCTTAGTTCTGGGACTAGTCTAGTAGCATACCTTTGGACTTTTTCCAGCTTCGTCTTGTGCTTGACAAGGTACGGGCTCCATGCTGGGGCCGCATACTCCAGGATTGGTCTTACATATGTGGTGTACAGTGTGTGTGTGTGTGTGTGTGTGTGTGTGTGTGTGTGTGTGTGTGTGTGTGTGTGTGTACTCACCTAGTTGTACTCACCTAGTTGTGCTTGCGGGGGTTGAGCTCTGGCTCTTTGGTCCCGCCTCTCAACCGTCAATCAACAGGTGTACAGGTTCCTGAGCCTATTGGGCTCTATCATATCTACACTTGAAACTGTGTATGGAGTCAGCCTCCACCACATTGCTTCCTAATGCATTCCATTTGTCAACCACTCTCACACTAAAAAAGTTCTTTCTAATATCTCTGTGGCTCATTTGGGCACTCAGTTTCCACCTGTGTCCCCTAGTGCGTGTGCCCCTTGTGTTAAATAGCCTATCTTTATCAACCCTGTCGATTCCCTTGAGAATCTTGAATGTGGTGATCATGTCCCCCCTAACTCTTCTGTCTTCCAACGAAGTGAGATTCAATTCCCGTAGTCTCTCCTCGTAGCTCATACCTCTCAGCTCGGGTACTAGTCTGGTGGCAAACCTTTGAACCTTTTCCAGTTTAGTCTTATGCTTGACTAGATATGGACTCCATGCTGGAGCCGCATACTCCAGGATTGGTCTGACATATGTGGTATATAATGTTCTGAAAGATTCCTTACACAAGTTTCTAAAGGCCGTTCTTATGTTAGCCAACCTGGCATATGCTGCTGATGTTATCCTCTTGATATGAGCTTCAGGGGACAGGTCTGGCGTGATATCAACCCCCAGGTCTTTCTCTCTCTCTGACTCTTGAAGTATTTCATCTCCCAAGTGATACCTTGTATCTGGTCTCCTGCTTCCTACTCCTATCTTTATTACATTACATTTGCTTGGGTTAAACTCTAACATCCAATTGTTCGACCATTCCTGCAGCTTGTCCAGGTCTTCTTGAAGCCTCAAGCTGTCCTCCTCTGTCTTAATCCTTCTCATAATTTTGGCGTCGTCAGCAAACATTGAGAGGAATGAGTCTATACCCTCTGGGAGATCATTTACGTATATCAGAAACAGGATAGGTCCAAGCACAGAGCCCTGTGGGACTCCACTGGTGACTTCCCGCCATTCTGAGGTCTCACCCCTCACTATAACTCTCTGCTTTCTATTGCTTAGGTACTCCCTTATCCACTGGAGCGCCCTACCAGTTACTCCTGCCTGTTTCTCTAGCTTTTGCATCAACCTTTTATGGGGTACTGTGTCAAAGGCTTTCCGACAGTCCAAAAAAATGCAGTCCGCCCATCCTTCTCTTTCTTGCTTAATCTTTGTCACCTGATCATAGAATTCTATCAAGCCTGTAAGGCAAGATTTACCCTCCCTGAACCCATGTTGATGGGTTGTCACGAAGTCTCTTCTCTCCAGATGTGTTACTATGTTTTTTCTCACAATCTTCTCCATCACCTTGCATGGTATACAAGTTAAGGACACTGGCCTGTAGTTCAGTGCCTCTTGTCTGTCACCCTTTTTAAATATTGGTACTACATTAGCAGTCTTCCATACTTCTGGTAGGTCTCCCGTTTCCAGTGACCTACTATACACTATGGAGAGTGGCAAGCTAAGTGCTCCTGCACACTCTTTCAATACCCATGGTGAGATTCCATCCGGCCCAACAGCTTTTCTCACATCCAGCTCCAATAGGTGCTTCTTGACCTCATCTCTTGTAATTTCGAAAAAAATCGGTTGTTTGTGTGTGTGTGTCTGCAGGATCGAGCATTGACTCTTGGATCCCGCCTTTCTAGCCATCGGTTGTTTACAGCAATGACTATGGTCCTATTTCCCTATCATATCTAGTTTTAAAATTATGAATAGTATTTGCTTCTACAACCTGTTCCTTAAGTGCATTCCATTTTCCCACTACTCTCACGCTAAAAGAAAACTTCCTAACATCTCTGTGACTAATCTGAGTTTCCAGCTTCCATCCATGTCCCCTCGTTCTGTTACTATTCCGTGTGAACATTTCGTCTATGTCCACTCTGTCAATCCCCCTGAGCATTTTATCCGTTCCTATCATGTCCCCCCTCTCCCTTCTTCTTTCTAGTGTCATAAGGCACAGTTCCTTCAGGCGCTCCTCATACCCCATCCCTCGTAACTCTGGGACGAGTCTCGTTGCAAACCTCTGAACTTTTTCCAGTTTCCTTATATGCTTCTTCAGATGGGGACTCCATGATGAGGTGGTGTTACAACCCTGGGTTCGTATTTGGAAACCAAAGGTCAAATTGAGTTCTAAATAGTTATGTAAGGTGGATATTTAATTAACAATAACTTTTATATTCAGGGCTTCTCATACCCCTGAGGCGTATTTGTTTCAGTCTCCCTTGCCAGACGTAAGACGAATCTTGTTACTCACAGATTATTCAGACTCTGGGCTTGTTGATTATTAAATATAATGTTGAACTAGTTATCAGCTATTCTCAGAATTGTTAAAATAATTAGTAATGAATGTCGGTGAAGACTTGTAATGTTTATGGCTGTACGATCAGCTGGGTATCTTCCCGGCAGCAGCTTGAGAGAGCTGGGTGGCTGTGCTAGAGGTCCCTCTTCAGGATCTGGCTGCTAGGGTGTCAACAACTTCCCTGTGGGCTCTGCTCTCCTCCTCCTTCTCTCTTCCTTTACCTTATTCTGGTTTTATTATACAAGTTAATATAATACAACATCTGCCCGTGTTACTGGCTAGATGTGTAATAAATTTTTGTTTAACCTCTGCTAGTGTTTTGGTATCCCTAAGTGTACTCTAGGGGACTAGGGAGACCACATGTGCTTAAGTCTGTGATACCTGGGATACTAGTGTCTCTTCAGGAAAGTAGCCTTTACCCCTAGTTTGCAAGTGTAAACCTTGTATCCTGCTTATGTGGACCAAGGTGTTTAACGTAAGGTAGAATGGTAAAGTGATTTACTGTATTTATGTATATGGGGGTTATTAGAGGGTTTAATAAATAAGTTTAGAGATTTTGGGAGTAGCCGTTCACCCAGTTGAAGTGGAGTAGATTATTAACTACTAGACTACAGACATTTATTCTAGCCAAACAAGTATTCATTACTGGGAACATTTTTCCTTGGGGGCCGGCCCTATCCAATCTCCACTATCTTAAGAACTCCTGTGATTTTCACTATTGAACCTCTCAGTACAACAACCAACTTGCCCTCCATGATGAGGCGGCATACTCTAAGACTGGCCTCACGTAGGCAGTGTAAAGCGCCCTAAATGCCTCTATACTTAGGTTTCTGAATGATGTTCTAACTTTTGCCAGTGTAGAGTATGCTGCTGTCGTTATCCTATTTATATGTGCCTCAGGAGATAGATTAGTGATACGTTCACGCCCAGGTCTCTTTCTCGCGTCGTCACAGGTAGGCTGTTCCCCTTCATTGTATACTGTCCCTTTGGTCTCCTATCACCGAGTCCCATTTCCATAACTTTACATTTGCTCGTGTTGAACTCCAGTGGCCATTTCTCTGACCATCTCTGCAACCTGTTCAGGTCCTCTTGGAGGATCCTGCAATCCTCATCTGTCACAACTCTTCTCATCAACTTTGCATCATCCACGAACATCGACATGTAGGACTCTACTCCTATAAACATGTCGTTAACATATATTAGAAATAGAATTGGTCCCAGCACCGATCCTTGAGGTACTCCACTCGTTACTGTTCGCCAGTCTGACTTCTCGCCCCTTACCGTAACTCTCTGGCTCCTTCCTGTTAGGTAGTTCCTTATCCATGCTAGGACCTTTCCCCCGCCTGCCTCTCGAGTTTGAACAGCAGTCTCATGTGCGGTACTGTATCAAAAGCTTTTGGCAGTCCAGAAATATGCAGTCTGCCCAACCATCTCTGTCCTGTCTTATCCTCGTTGGCAACGAGGATAAGACACACGCACACACTTCTCCTCCTCAAGGAATGTGAACCTGATCTGCACCCAATACTCACCTGGAGGTCTTCCTGAGTGAGGGAAGCACTTCTGGTCCACCGGTGCAGGTGGCGACGGAGGGGGGGGGGGATGGAGGGAGGGGGGACCTCCACACACACACGTTTGTGTGTGTATGTACTCACCTATTTCTGCTTATGGGGGTTGAGCTCTGGCTCCTTGGTCCCGCCTCTCAACTGTCAATCAACTGGTGTACAGATTCCTGAGCCTACTGGGCTCTATCATATCTACATTTGAAACTGTGTAGGGAGTCAGCCTCCACCACATCACTGCCTAATGCATTACATCTATTAACTACTCTGACACTGAAAAAGTTCTTTCTAATGTCCCTGTGGCTCATTTGGGTACTCAGTTTCCACCTCTGAACACACGCACGCACACATCTATACTACAAAAGTATATCTTTGATGGCTATATCATCCAAAAATTAGAAATGTGGAGAAATGCCCGACAGACCACTGGAACATTATCTAACACAGTGCACAGTTACAGCCACAACAGACCACTGGAACATTATCTAACACAGTGCACAGTTACAACCACAACAGACCACTGGAACATTATCTAACACAGTGCACAGTTACAACCACAACAGACCACTGGAACATTATCTAACACAGTGCAGAGTTACAAACCCATTAAGATTTCAACTTAGATCCAACAGAGCAGAAGTTGTTAAACACATATGACAAAATCTTACTGAAGCGACCATACGAGTAATAAATACTCATACTCCGCCCAAGTAAAACAGAAACAGCAACACTTAGTGGGCCAGCCAGAGGCTTAGGGCCCGCACAGGAAAATCCCCGAAAAAAATGCACACTGAAAAATACTGACGATGTTTCGGTCCATCCTGGACCGCGTAGTGCTCCATTACATGACTTGACAATGGTCCAGGACGGACCAAAACGTCGCCAAACTTACTCAGGCCTTGAGGTACACTTACACTCAGATTGTGAGGTGTCTGGTACACTTACACTCAGACTGTGAGGTGTCTGGTACACTTACACTCAGATTGTGAGGTGTCTGGTACACTTACACTCAGATTGTGAGGTGTCTGGTACACTTACACTCAGACTGTGAGGTGTCTGGTACACTTACACTCAGACTGTGAGGTGTCTGGTACACTTACACTCAGACTGTGAGGTGTCTGGAATACTTACACTCAGATTGTGAGGTGTCTGGTACACTTACACTCAGACTGTGAGGTGTCTGGTACACTTACACTCAGATTGTGAGGTGTCTGGTACACTTACACTCAGATTGTGAGGTGTCTGGTACACTTACACTCAGATTGTGAGGTGTCTGGTACACTTACACTCAGATTGTGAGGTGTCTGGTACACTTACACTCAGACTGTGAGGTGTCTGGTACACTTACACTCAGACTGTGAGGTGTCTGGTACACTTACACTCAGACTGTGAGGTGTCTGGAATACTTACACTCAGATTGTGAGGTGTCTGGTACACTTACACTCAGACTGTGAGGTGTCTGGAATACTTACACTCAGACTGTGAAGTGTCTGGTACACTTACACTCAGATTGTGAGGTGTCTGGTACACTTACACTCAGACTGTGAGGTGTCTGGTACACTTACACTCAGATTGTGAGGTGTCTGGTACACTTACACTCAGACTGTGAGGTGTCTGGTACACTTACACTCAGACTGTGAGGTGTCTGGAATACTTACACTCAGACTGTGAAGTGTCTGGTACACTTACACTCAGATTGTGAGGTGTCTGGTACACTTACACTCAGACTGTGAGGTGTCTGGTACACTTACACTCAGACTGTGAGGTGTCTGGTACACTTACACTCAGATTGTGAGGTGTCTGGTACACTTACACTCAGATTGTGAGGTGTCTGGTACACTTACACTCAGACTGTGAGGTGTCTGGTACACTTACACTCAGACTGTGAGGTGTCTGGTACACTTACACTCAGATTGTGAGGTGTCTGGTACACTTACACTCAGATTGTGAGGTGTCTGGTACACTTACACTCAGACTGTGAGGTGTCTGGTACACTTACACTCAGACTGTGAGGTGTCTGGAATACTTACACTCAGATTGTGAGGTGTCTGGTACACTTACACTCAGACTGTGAAGTGTCTGGTACACTTACACTCAGACTGTGAGGTGTCTGGTACACTTACACTCAGACTGTGAGGTGTCTGGTACACTTACACTCAGACTGTGAGGTGTCTGGTACACTTACACTCAGACTGTGAGGTGTCTGGAATACTTACACTCAGATTGTGAGGTGTCTGGTACACTTACACTCAGACTGTGAGGTGTCTGGTACACTTACACTCAGACTGTGAAGTGTCTGGTACACTTACACTCAGACTGTGAGGTGTCTGGAATACTTACACTCAGACTGTGAGGTGTCTGGTACACTTACACTCAGACTGTGAGGTGTCTGGTACACTTACACTCAGACTGTGAGGTGTCTGGAATACTTACACTCAGATTGTGAGGTGTCTGGTACACTTACACTCAGACTGTGAGGTGTCTGGTACACTTACACTCAGACTGTGAGGTGTCTGGAATACTTACACTCAGATTGTGAGGTGTCTGGTACACTTACACTCAGATTGTGAGGTGTCTGGAATACTTACACTCAGATTGTGAGGTGTCTGGTACACAACCGGAGTCCGAAGAGGCCACAGGGTTGCCAACATTAACCACCAGACGCACTTGTCGCCGGGAGCTGATTCTTACGTCATGTTGACGAGGTCCTGCTCGAACTTGAACGGTCACGTTGTCGTCGGCAGCAGGAAGAAGCGCTGGGGGCGTGGAGTCCCTACCCACCTCCCCGCCTTCCAGTTGGTGCCCTCGGTATTTGGAGAGTGTAGCTAAGAACATGTCGAGAGCACTTAGTGTCGATGGTCGATACCGCCCAGGGTTGTCCTCGATATCTATATTGGAAGATCGAGGTCGGTTGCGGCGAGATCTTCTGGACTCTAGAGCCTTCAGTAGCCTTTCGGAGTAGCTGGCGTCGCCAGAGTCTGAGGCTTCGTAGTCGCTCTGGTGGTCTGTTGGTGTGTCTTCTGTGGATCTTGGGGGACTTCCAGCTGTGCCCTGAGGCGATCCATCGCCAGAGTTTTGGTGCAGTTGGAGACTATCCACGTATTCTTGCACGAGTTTATGTCTGCTCATTGACACTGGGTCACTGTCTATTTGGGGAGAAAGTTCCTGGAAATAATTTCGTTGAGGGGATTCCCAGTGTCGTCTCTGGGGTTTCGAGTCTTCGATATCTGAGCCATCATACAGATCTTGAAAGCTTGCGCATCCGTTGACTGCTGTGGCTTCACTGGTTTCCCGCAGCGCTCGCCCACAGCCTGAAGAAGAATGGTGGCCGCTAGTGATGCGGTTGGCGCGGTCCTTAGCCTGCTTACTGGAAGGTCTTGGGCAAGGTATACTGTTGGCAGACTGCTCACTTCGAGCAGACGCTTGAGAATGAGTGTCCCGGGAGCCATGGACCTCAGCAGCCACGCTCTCAGCAGACTCTTCTGAGGGCGATTGTATGTTTTTTCCCGCCATTTCTACGACACCCGAATCAGAGGACGGCGAGTTAGCTGCTGCAGCAGCCTCTCTTTCGTTCCCATCTCTATTACGAGGCGAATCGTCAGAGGATGTGCTGGAACCTGCCATTAAGGAAGACTGAGGAGGGTCCTCTCTGCCTGAAAACCCACAAGCACCACTGCTGCTCTTGGCGAGACTCATCGTTGGCGCCACCGGGCCATCGTTGTGTCGCAGGACCTCGTCTGCGCACGAGCTCTCGTGCACATCTTCCCTGCAAATGCTGCCAGTGTTTACCTGATTTCTTATGTCGCTTTTGTCCTCTAAGTTAATGCACGAAACTATATCATCGTCAGAATTCATTAATATATTTGAACGAAGACTAGCGAAGGCTTCTGCGCCTTCATTCTCTGTGTCGCCAATGTTGTCATATCCTTGAGGCGCTGTTGCGTCACTTTTTATCGGAGTTTCTTTACCCTTAACGTAATTTCCACGCAAGGAACTCTCACCATATATGGAGTATCCATCCTCTAGCGTGGTTTCCCTCATCAGATGGGAATTATATGTATTCGGTACGATCCGTTTCCCGATGAGAACTTTCTGCTCAATATATTCCTCTACGTGGTTCAGCAGCTCGTCGTACTCCCCTTTGGTGACGGATTCCGTCAGGTCCAGAGTGACTGAACTGAGTAGTGAGTTGTCAGTTTCTTCACCATCATGAGCCTGGCGCTGTGACTCTTCTTCTGATACTTCTTTCGGTCGAATGTCTTTGTGTTGTATGTTCTCCAGGTCTCTACATACACCTTGAACAGCGCTCCTTTCTTTCTCGTCGACATCTTTGTCAGGGTCGTGTATTGGAGAAGTTCCTAGTGTCGTGGCTATGTCAGGGTCGTGTATTAGAGACTTTTCGGGTGTCGTGGCTATGTCAGGGTCATGTGTTGGAGAAGTTCCTAGTGTCGTGGCAATGTCAGGGTCGTGTGTTGGAGAAGTTCCTAGTGTCGTGGCTATGTCAGGGTCGTGTGTTGGAGAAGTTCCTAGTGTCGTGGCTATGTCAGGGTCGTGTGTTGGAGACGTTGCTGGTGTTGTGGTTATGTCAGGGTCGTGTGTTGGAGAAGTTGCTGGTGTCGTGGCTATGTCAGGGTCGTGTGTTGGAGAAGCTGCTGGTGTCGTGGCTATATCGAGGTCGTGTGTTGGAGAAGTAGCTGGTGTCGTGGCTATATCGGGGTCGTGTGTTGGAGAAGTAGCTGGTGTCGTGGCTATATCGGGGTCGTGTGTTGGAGAAGTAGCTGGTGTCGTGGCTATATCGGGGTCGTGTGTTGGAGAAGTTCCTAGTGTCGTGGCAATGTCAGGGTCGTGTGTTGGAGACGTTGCTGGTGTCGTGGCTATGTCAGGGTCGTGTGTCGGAGAAGCTGCTGGTGTCGTGGCTATATCGAGGTCGTGTGTTGGAGAAGTAGCTGGTGTCGTGGCTAAGCTAAATTCACCAATTTGTTGTGGTTGAGATCTGCGCACTCTCCGTCGGTCAGCTCTAAACACTTGGCGAGTGACTCCGTCAGCCTCGCCACGGCTACCTTCCTGGTCTTCCTCAGTGGCCCCGAACACCATATTCCCGCTCTCCCCTACGGCCCGTTTTCTTTCCTGTCCGACCTCTTTGTGATTCTCGATTCTACGAATTGCGGAAGAGCCGTCAACACCTTCCACAGCAACACTGTCATCAACACCTTCCACAGCAACACTGTCATCAACACCTTCCACAGCAACACTGTCATCAACATCTTCCACAGCAACACTGTCATCAACACCTTCCACAGCAACACTGTCATCAACACCTTCCACAGCAACACTGTCATCAACACCTTCCACAGCAACACTGTCATCAACACCTTCCACAGCAACACTGTCATCAACACCTTCCACAGCAACACTGTCATCAACATCTTCCACAGCAACACTGTCGTCAACATCTTCCACAGCAACACTGTCATCAACACCTTCCACAGCAACACTGTCATCAATACCTTCCACAGCAACACTGTCATCAACACCTTCCACAGCAACACTGTCATCAACACCTTCCACAGCAACACTGTCATCAACACCTTCCACAGCAACACTGTCATCAACACCTTCCACAGCAACACCTTCCACAGCAACACTGTCATCAATACCTTCCACAGCAACACTGTTGTCAACATCTTCCACAGCAACACTGTCGTCAACATCTTCCACAGCAACACTGTCATCAACACCTTCCACAGCAACACTGTCATCAACACCTTCCACAGCAACACTGTCATCAACACCTTCCACAGCAACACTGTCATCAACATCTTCCACAGCAACACTGTCATCAACACCTTCCACAGCAACACTGTCATCAACACCTTCCACAGCAACACTGTCATCAACACCTTCCACAGCAACACTGTCATCAACACCTTCCACAGCAACACTGTTGTCAACATCTTCCACAGCAACACTGTCATCAACACCTTCCACAGCAACACTGTTGTCAACATCTTCCACAGCAACACTGTCATCAACATCTTCCACAGCAACACTGTCGTCAACATCTTCCACAGCAACACTGTCATCAACACTGTCATCAACACCTTCCACAGCAACACTGTCATCAACACATTCCACAGCAACACTGTCATCAACATCTTCCACAGCAACACTGTCGTCAACATCTTCCACAGCAACACTGTCATCAACACCTTCCACAGCAACACTGTCATCAACATCTTCCACAGCAACACTGTCGTCAACATCTTCCTCAGCAACACTGTCATCAACATCTTCCACAGCAACACTGTTGTCAACATCTTCCACAGCAACACTGTCATCAGCATCTTCCACAGCAACACTGTCATCAGCATCTTCCACAGCAACACTGTCATCAACACCTTCCTCAGCAACACTGTCATCAACATCTTCCACAGCAACACTGTTGTCAACATCTTCCACAGCAACACTGTTGTCAACATCTTCCACAGCAAAACTGTCGTCAACATCTCCCACAGCAACACTGTCATCAACATCTTCCACAGCAACACTGTCATCAACATCTTCCACAGCAACACTGTCGTCAACACCTTCCACAGCAACACTGTCATCAACATCTTCCACAGCAACACTGTCATCAACATCTTCCACAGCAACACTGTCATCAACACCTTCCACAGCAACACTGTCATCAACACCTTCCACAGCAACACTGTTGTCAACATCTTCCACAGCAACACTGTCATCAACATCTTCCACAGCAACACTGTCGTCAACATCTTCCACAGCAACACTGTCATCAACATCTTCCACAGCAACACTGTCATCAACACCTTCCACAGCAACACTGTCATCAACACCTTCCACAGCAACACTGTCATCAACATCTTCCACAGCAACACTGTCATCAACACCTTCCACAGCAACACTGTCATCAACATCTTCCACAGCAACACTGTCGTCAACATCTTCCACAGCAACACTGTCATCAACACCTTCCACAGCAACACTGTCATCAACATCTTCCACAGCAACACTGTCGTCAACATCTTCCACAGCAACACTGTCATCAACATCTTCCACAGCAACACTGTCATCAACACCTTCCACAGCAACACTGTCATCAACATCTTCCACAGCAACACTGTCATCAACATCTTCCACAGCAACACTGTCATCAACATCTTCTACAGCAACACTGTTGTCGACATCTTCCACAGCAACACTGTCATCAACATCTTCCACAGCAACACTGTCGTCAACATCTTCCACAGCAACACTGTCGTCAACACCTTCCACAGCAACACTGTCATCAACATCTTCCACAGCAACACTGTCATCAACACTGTCATCAACACCTTCCACAGCAACACTGTCATCAACACATTCCACAGCAACACTGTCATCAACATCTTCCACAGCAACACTGTCATCAGCATCTTCCACAGCAACACTGTCATCAACACCTTCCTCAGCAACACTGTCATCAACATCTTCCACAGCAACACTGTTGTCGACATCTTCCACAGCAACACTGTCATCAGCATCTTCCACAGCAACACTGTCGTCAACATCTTCCACAGCAACACTGTCGTCAACATCTTCCACAGCAACACTGTCATCAACACCTTCCACAGCAACACTGTCATCAACACCTTCCACAGCAACACTGTCATCAACATCTTCCACAGCAACACTGTCATCAACACCTTCCACAGCAACACTGTCATCAACATCTTCCACAGCAACACTGTCATCAACATCTTCCACAGCAACACTGTTGTCAATACATGCCACAGCAACACTGTTGTCAACATCTTCCACAGCAACACTGTCATCAGCATCTTCCACAGCAACACTGTCGTCAACATCTTCCACAGCAACACTGTCGTCAACATCTTCCACAGCAACACTGTCGTCAACATCTTCCACAGCAACACTGTCGTCAACATCTTCCACAGCAACACTGTCATCAACACTGTCATCAACATCTTCCACAGCAACACTGTCATCAACACCTTCCACAGCAACGCTGTCATCAACACCTTCCACAGCAACACTGTCGTCAACATCTTCCACAGCAACACTGTCGTCAACATCTTCCACAGCAACACTGTCATCAACATCTTCCACAGCAACACTGTCATCAACACCTTCCACAGCAACACTGTCATCAATACATTCTACCATAACATTTCCGCCATCTCCTTTTACCTTAAGAAGATTGTCAACACCGTCTACCACAAGGGTACCATTTGCACCTCCCCCGCGGGTACCACCTACCACAACGCGTTCACTCTCCCGTACCACATGGCTGGCCTCACTCTCTCCCACTTCAGCGTTCTCGCTTCCTTCAACCACAATGTTATTTTTGTCCTGCGCGTTAGAGGCGCTGCCCTGGCTCGATATCGAACAGTTTGTACTTCTGACATCGCAGTTTTCCATTCCTATCAACGTCGCAATGTTTCCATTCTCCTCCTTCGAAGTGTTTACTGACTCTTTCAGTAGCGATGTTTCCTGCTGCAGTAGCGGGGAAGCATCAGAAAGCTCATCGTCTTCTTCAATGGTAGAGAGCTCTGAGCTGGTCTCATCCACAAGCGCGTGTTCACTCTTGCTCGGCGTGATGGCCCGGAAGATCTCTTCCAGCAAATCAGAGTTATTTTCCAGAAGAGGACTTCTTGTCGAGGCTTCTGGGGGACTTCGGAACCTATTCTGTTGGTCCATGCAGAGGAAATCATCAATACTTATCTCTTCTCCTGCCTCCTGATGTAGGGTGTCAGACATGGGGACTTCTGGGTTCATGTCTGGGGTGAGGTTCCTGCTGCCGGAGCTGTCAGCAGAAAGAGCTCGGACCACTGTCACGCGGTCCCACGAGTCTGTTCCATCACTCAGTTCCTCCGCCTCGTTCTCTGGACCTTCTGTTCCAGGAATCGAGAGCTGCGCCGTATTAGAATCAGGGCATAGAATTAGAACCTGGTCTTCACTAGATCTTGTGTTAGGAATGATGGTCTGTTCTTCACCAGGAGCTCGATCATGTTCTTTATTAGGGTCTGTACAAGAAACCAGATCCTGTTCTTTACTTGGCTCTGTGCCATGAACCAGATGCTGTTCTTCGCTAGGCTCTGTACGAGAAACTAGATCCTGTACTTCACTAGGTTCTGTGCCTCGAACCCAATCTTGTTCTTTGCTAGGCTCTGTCCTAGGAACAAGATTCTGCTCTTCACTAAGCTCTGTACAAGAAGCTAGGTCCTGTTCTTCACCGAGTTCTGCGGAAGGAACAAGGACCTGTTCTTCACTAGGGTCTGTGCTCTGAGTTGAAACATATTTCGAACTTGATTCTGTGTTCTGACTCAGCATTTGCCCTTGGTTAGAACTGGTGAAGAAATTCTCTTCTTCAAGAGCTCTAGGAGAACCTTTACTGCAGATGCTGTTCTCAAAGCTTGACGATACATTCGAGTCTGTGGCGCCTTCCGCATGTAGGCTGTCCTTTGTCCGGTTCTTGAGTGCCCTTTCGTCTAGATCTTCTTTCTCGATTCTTTTCTCTCTAATGTCTAAATTTTCTCTTCCGTCTGACTGTTCTCTTATATCTATGTGTTCTCTTACGTATGTATGTCCAGTTAGGGCAGTACGAACATCGTTTTCAGGCAGACAATGGTCTCTTGCTACGTCAGTGGCTGTAAGTGTTCCTTCCTTTGTTCCGTGACTGTCTTCTCTTGCGTCATGATGGTCGCCGTCTTCACTGTCAATATTTCTTGGTTTGTTTTCTGCACTTTTCCAATCACCGTTTTCTTCGCATGTGTCGTCCCATGCTTGCTCTGAGTTGGCTTTTCCTTTATCTACAGTAATGGTGTATTCATGTGAGACACTGACATCTTCAAAGGTATGTTTTTCTACGCTTTGAAATTCCTTTACTGATGATCCCTGGGTATACATTTTCCGAGAGGATTTCACTAATGTTTCACTGCTTGAATCTCCTGTATCACTGCTCAGTTCACACCGTGACGAGGGAGAAATGTGTATTTTTATAATATTTTCAAAATTTTCTGACATTGTATTCGTTGTCTCTGGTAGAGGAGTTTGTTCAATATTGTTACAGTTAATGCTGAGGGAGTCAGATGATAAACTAAGGTCATCCATGTCAATAAAACCACTCTCCAGCAGCACATCTTTCCCGCTGGTGGTGCTGGCGATAATTTCATGTTCCTTCTGCGGGATGCATGAGCTCTTCTCCTTCAGGTCTTCCTCCTCTGTATTTGGAAGGAACTCATAGTGAGAGCTGTCATTGCTTTCTGTTGCCGTCTTCTGGCTAATATTCTTCACAACGTAAGTCGCTTTAAGCGTGTCATTGTTTTCCAGGCCAGAGGATACTAGCACACCTTTCTCATCATTCACTCTAGTATTGCTTAATGTATCACCTTCAGCAGTGTTAACAACTCTGGCATGGTCAGTGAAAATCTTGTCGAAGGTTTCCAAGCCGGACTGAGAGATGTGTATGTGGTACTCGCTGTCCGGGCTAGACTTGTGGTTGAGGCCACACAGACGTTCATTGTCTGTTTCCGTGTATACATGCTCTTGTGTGTATTGAGCAATTGCATTGTTTCTGTAAAGTGGAAGATCTGATTTTACTATGCTAGCACCTTCAAAGGCAAATTTTACACTCTTGTTATCACATCCATTTACTCCATCTTTGACCGACTCATGCAGCGCCAGGGCTGACTTCGGTATTTTGATCAAACCCTCGCTGGTCTTTTCGTGCTGATGACCGAAGCCGTCTACCACAACACACCTGTAAGGCTGTTGACTTGACTGGTCGGGCCGTCTCGGGGAACCTGAGGAAGGTGTCGACCCTATGGGGAAAGGAGTATAGGTGTTAAAGTGTTGCCGGGAGTTTGCCTCGACCACCACCTCAGGTACGCGAGTGGAGGGGCTGTTGTGTCTTACTGAATTCAGACAGGGAGCCGGTTGTGCTGTGGTTATTTGTACACTTGAACGAGGTGATGCAGTGGAAGAACCTCTAAAGTTAACAGACTTCGTAGAAGATAATTGTAGTATATCAGATTGCGACTTGCCGGTGTTGGACTTTGAGGGAGAAAGAGGCACCATTTTCTTCTTCCTGGTTACTACTTTTGGGCTGTCTCTTATGTCCGAATCGCTCGTACATGCATTTGTATTCAAGTAATATTCTTGTGAGGCGCTAGTCATCTCCTCATTACTCAAACTGTCGTCTTTCGCACCGAACTGATGCAGTTTTTCTTCATCATTCATACGGTTTCCTGCTAGAGCGAGTCTGGAGGTGGTGCCGGGGAAGGGTCGAGGGCGAGCAGCTGTTCGTCGTTCCTCCAGGCGGGCTGTAAGCCTCGCCGGCAGAGCCAGGCACTCGGCCCGCACAGGCGATGTCTCATTCTTTATTGGTACATAGAACGCTTGATTAACAGATCGCTTTGTGTTATTTCTACTCTCATCCTCCTCCAGACTGTCGTAATAGACAGACTCTGCTCCCTCGCTCCCTAGAGAGTTACATCTGTGGTGGACCGCAGACGTGGGGCGCATGTACTGCATTCCGTCAGTTTGCGAGGAGGAATCTGTCAAAGATGTTGGTAGAATTTTCTTCTGCAAGGTCTTCATCGACGTGTGTTTTGATACCCATTCTTTCCGTTGGCTTCGTCGGCCTTTCTGTGAGGATGGTCTTCCCAGCGAGGGCGGGAGCGCTGATAAAAGTGGACTGGTTTGAAGCACTGCATTGGTTTCGTTTTCTATGAATTTATTCATCTTTTGGGCCCACTTTTTGGGAGATCTATGCAAATTTTCCCCATTGTTTTTAGTGTGATGTATATGTGGCGGCGCAGAGGCGGTGAGCGTGGTGTGGTCGTCATGTCCCCAAGGCGGCAGGACCAGCAGGCCGCGAGTGTCCCCAAGGCTCCCCAGCGTGGCAATGGTCTCGTACATTACTGCAGAACTCACGCACCGATAGTCTCGCAGATCTGGCATGGAGCTACGACGGTCTAGTCTCGGCCTTGGAAGTACCATTATATGACTGTCCGAAGGCGGACAATACTCAGATAATAAATACTCTGCGTCTCTTTCCTCCGAGGACGTGACGCTCAAGGTGTCGCTGAGGGTATTGCTCCTCTTGCAACCGGAGTCTACGCTGCTCCTGCCTCTCAGGTGGCGGCTCCTAGGTGGCGCCACCTGCCTCTCAGGTGGCGGCATCTCATGTGACAATGCTGGGTAGGGCTTCTGATTCTCCCGGATCTCGGTGTAACCTGGGGGCGCTACACCCCAGCGTGGGGTGGGTCCTGGAGTACGCCGCTGGACTGTGGCGCGAGACTGCGTGCGCAGGTATCGGTCGCATATCCCCTGGTCTTCCTTGGGGGCTCTGTGTCGCATCTGCCTGGGGCTCAGGAACGCTCGTGCTCTAAAAAGAGATGTGAAATTAGTCAGAAAATAATATATATGTATTACACATAATTATGACACTACAACTGTGACTTTATCATCACTTATACCAGCAAGCACAAAACCTGATTTAGAGACGTTTAGGTACAGGAAAGACCTGGGTAAATACTGGTTTAGAAACAGGGTGGTTGAATTACAGAAAAAATTACCCTGACATCTGAGTTCCCTTTCTCATTGTCTGGGACAGCAAGCCTGTTAGGCTTATCAATGTCCTAAACTGAATACTGACCTTCCTCAGTATTTACTGCTAGGTGAACAGAGGCATCAGAAGATAGAAGCTATTGCCCAAACGCTCCTGTACTGCTACGGGAATCGAACCTGGCACCTTTCACGTTTGATCCAACTGTGCTGATACCAAATGTTACTAACCTACTAAAAGTGTAAACTCAGTTGTAACTAACGTACAAAAGTGTAAACTCAGCTGTAACTTAGAAAAGTGTAAACTCAGCTGTAACTAAGATAGAAAAGTGTAAACTCAGCTGTAACTAAGATAGAAAAGTGTAAACTCAGCTGTAACTTACAAAAGTGTAAACTCAGTTGTAACTAACGTACAAAAGTGTAAACTCAGCTGTAACTTACAAAAGTGTAAACTCAGCTGTAACTAACATACAAAAGTGTAAACTCAGCTGTAACTTACAAACAAAAGTGTAAACTCAGCTGTAACTAACATACACAAGTGTAAACTCAGCTGTAACTAACATACACAAGTGTAAACTCAGCTGTAACTAACATACACAAGTGTAAACTCAGCTGTAACTTATATACAAAAGTGTAAACTTAACTGTAACTAACATACACAAGTGTAAACTCAGCTGTAACTTACATACAAAAGTGTAAACTCAGCTGTAACTAACATACAAAAGTGTAAACTCAGCTGTAACTTACAAACAAAAGTGTAAACTCAGCTGTAACTAACATACAAAAGTGTAAACTTAGCTGTAACTTACATACAAAAGTGTAAACTCAGCTGTAACTTACATACAAAAGTGTAAACTCAGCTGTAACTAACATACAAAAGTGTAAACTCAGCTGTAACTAACATACACAAGTGTAAACTCAGCTGTAACTTACATACACAAGTGTAAACTCAGCTGTAACTTACATACAAAAGTGTAAACTCAACTGTAACTAGCATACAAAAGTGTAAACTTAACTGTAACTAACATACACAAGTGTAAACTCAGCTGTAACTTACATACAAAAGTGTAAACTCAGCTGTAACTAGCATACAAAAGTGTAAACTTAGCTGTAACTAACATACACAAGTGTAAACTCAACTGTAACTAACATACAAAAGTGTAAACTCAGTTGTAACTAACACACAAAATTGTAAACTTAGCTGTAACTAACATACACAAGTGTAAACTCAATTGTAACTTACATACAAAAGTGTAAACTCAGTTGTAACTAACACACAAAATTGTAAACTTAGCTGTAACTAACATACACAAGTGTAAACTCAACTGTAACTTACATACAAAAGTGTAAACTCAGATGTAACTAACATACACAAGTGTAAACTCAGCTGTAAGTAACATACAAAAGTGTAAACTCAGCTACAATAATCTTGAAGGGGGTAGCCAAAACAACCTCTCCCACACGAAGAGTTAAAATGGTCTTCTACAAACAGGTAATAAAGTATTCAAAAATAACTGTTCTGAGAACGAGGTCATGGCGAACCTTCCACCTTAATGAACTGCTAAGCTTTCTCTCTCTCATCATGCTGAAGAGAAAGTTAAGCGTAAAATGCTTTCTTGCTTCAGCTGTAGTTGTCAGTGAAGGAGAAATTGATGTGAATTTGTTTTTTGGGTGTCTAACGCTGTGTTGCGTACACTCTTGCGTCCTCTATATTGTTGCGTCACGTGTGTGTACTTACGCTCTCTGTGCTTCATTACTCTTACCTGTTCTTTTGCGTCTTTATGCCTGCCTATCCACTTGTCATTCTTTATCTGTCTAGCCTTGTGTCTCTCCATTTGTCTATCTATCTCTTTCTCTATCCTTTTGTTTTGCTACCTGTCGGTCCCCTTGCTTCTCTCCCCGTCAATCCTTTAGGGCCTCTCCCTACCTATCCTGGTGCCTCTCTTCACCTGCCTATCCTCGAGTTCATCCTCACCGGACGTCAAGAGCTTCGTCCTCGCCTCTCACGACCCTCAGCGCCTCCTCCAGGTCCGGAACCGACCGACTTGCTAAAACATTTCTCCTTGCTTCTCTTTCCTCTCTCGTGGCTCTTCCTCCTCCTCCTCCTCCTCCTGCGGCGTCGCCTTCGTCCCTCCCCGAAGTGCTCTTGGCGGCCCTCGCGGCTCGGTGCTGCCGAAGTGGCTCCCTCAGGAATCTGGTCATCAAGGCGTCGCGCTCAATCTTCCTCTCACTGAGGATTTGCTGACGACGTCGGCGTTCCTCTAACTCCACCTTCTGAAGGTGTCGCTCCCGTGCCCTGCGGAGGGTGACAAGGGGGTGAAAACATAGAGAGAAGGCGGTGACAAGGGGTGAAAACATAGAGAGAAGGCGGTGACAAAGGGTGAAAACATAGAGAGAAGGCGGTGACAAGGGGTGAAAACATAGAGAGAAGGCGGTGACAAGGGGTGAAAACATAGAGAGAAGGCGGTGACAAGGGGTGAAAACATAGAGAGAAGGCGGTGACAAGGGGTGAAAACATAGAGAGAAGGCGGTGACAAGGGGTGAAAACATAGAGAGAAGGCGGTGACAAAGGGTGACTTACTCCTCTTCGACGGGTGTGTAAGTTAAAGTGAGGGATGCAGGGGGTAGGATCCTCATTCATCTCAGAGAGAGAGAGAGAGAGAGAGATGCCTCACCTCTTCTAGAGATACGGAGCGCAAGAGGCGACATGCCAGGGGTATGCCAGAGGGGTATGCCAGGGGTATGCCAGGGGGGTATGTGCTAAGGGTTACAAAGAGCAATATTAATAATAGGGCATTTTGTCTATTATAATAGTAGATACTCATTATATAATTATTTCCTATTATTTATTTATTATATTCGATTTTATATTATCTATTTAGTTTATTGAACATTTCTTTCGTCTAGTTATATATAATTATTATTGTGACTATGTGTTGTTTGATTTATTTATTATAGGTGGGGGTGTGGGACAACAAGGTGGGGGTGTGGGACAACAAGGTGGGGGTGTGGGACAACAAGGGGGGTGTGGGACAACAAGGTGGGGGTGGGACAACAAGGGGGGGTGGGACAACAAGGTGGGGGTGTGGGACAACAAGGGGGGTGTGGGACAACAAGGTGGGGGTGTGGGACAACAAGGGGGGTGTGGGACAACAAGGTGGGGGTGTGGGACAACAAGGTGTGGGTGTGGGACAACAAGGGGGGGTGTGGGACAACAAGGTGGGGGTGTGGGACAACAAGGTGGGGGTGTGGGACAACAAGGTGGGGTGTGGGACAACAAGGTGGGGGTGTGGGACAACAAGGGGGGTGTGGGACAACAAGGTGGGGTGTGGGACAACAAGGTGGGGGTGTGGGACAACAAGGTGGGGGTGTGGGACAACAAGGTGGGGGTGTGGGACAACAAGGGGGGGGTGTGGGACAACAAGGTGGGGGTGTGGGACAACAAGGGGGGGGTGTGGGACAACAAGGTGGGGGTGTGGGACAACAAGGGGGGGGTGTGGGACAACAAGGTGGGGGTGTGGGACAACAAGGGGGGGTGTGGGACAACAAGGGGGGTGTGGGACAACAAGGTGGGGGTGTGGGACAACAAGGTGGGGGTGTGGGACAACAAGGTGGGGGTGTGGGACAACAAGTGGGGGTGGGGACAACAAGGGGGGGTGTGGGACAACAAGGTGGGGGTGTGGGACAACAAGGGGGGGGTGTGGACAACAAGGTGGGGGTGTGGGACAACAAGGTGGGGGTGTGGGACAACAAGGTGGGGGTGTGGGACAACAAGGTGGGGGTGTGGGACAACAAGGTGGGGGGTGTGTGGGACAACAAGGTGGGGGTGTGGGACAACAAGGTGGGGGTGTGGGACAACAAGGTGGGGGTGTGGGACAACAAGGTGGGGTGTGGGACAACAAGGTGGGGGTGTGGGACAACAAGGGGGGGGTGTGGGACAACAAGGTTGTGGGACAACAAGGGGGGGGTGTGGGACAACAAGGTGGGGGTGTGGGACAACAAGGGGGGGGTGTGGGACAACAAGGTGGGGGTGTGGGACAACAAGGTGGGGGTGTGGGACAACAAGGGGGGGTGTGGGACAACAAGGTGGGGGTGTGGGACAACAAGGTGGGGGTGTGGGACAACAAGGTGGGGGTGTGGGACAACAAGGTGGGGGTGTGGGACAACAAGGGGGGGGTGTGGGACAACAAGGGGGGGTGTGGGACAACAAGGTGGGGGTGTGGGACAACAAGGGGGGTGTGGGACAACAAGGTGGGGGTGTGGGACAACAAGGTGGGGGTGTGGGACAACAAGGTGTGGGACAACAAGGGGGGGTGTGGGACAACAAGGTGGGGGTGTGGGACAACAAGGGGGGGTGTGGGACAACAAGGTGGGGGTGTGGGACAACAAGGGGGGGGTGTGGGACAACAAGGGGGGTGTGGGACAACAAGGTGGGGGTGTGGGACAACAAGGTGGGGGTGTGGGACAACAAGGTGGGGGTGTGGGACAACAAGGTGGGGGTGTGGGACAACAAGGTGGGGGTGTGGGACAACAAGGTGGGGGTGTGGGACAACAAGGTGGGGGTGTGGGACAACAAGGTGGGGGTGTGGGACAACAAGGTGGGGGTGTGGGACAACAAGGTGGGGGTGTGGGACAACAAGGTGGGGGTGTGGGACAACAAGGTGGGGGTGTGGGACAACAAGGGGGGGTGTGGGACAACAAGGTGGGGGTGTGGGACAACAAGGTGGGGGTGTGGGACAACAAGGTGGGGGTGTGGGACAACAAGGTGGGGGTGTGGGACAACAAGGTGGGGGTGTGGGACAACAAGGTGGGGGTGTGGGACAACAAGGTGGGGGTGTGGACAACAAGGTGGGGGTGTGGGACAACAAGGGGGGGGTGTGGGACAACAAGGTGGGGGTGTGGGGACAACAAGGGGGGGTGTGGGACAACAAGGGGGGGGTGTGGGACAACAAGGTGGGGGTGTGGGACAACAAGGTGGGGGTGTGGGACAACAAGGTGGGGGTGTGGGACAACAAGGTGGGGTGTGGGACAACAAGGTGGGGGTGTGGGACAACAAGGTGGGGGTGTGGGACAACAAGGTGGGGGTGTGGGACAACAAGGGGGGGGTGTGGGACAACAAGGGGGGTGTGGGACAACAAGGTGGGGGTGTGGGACAACAAGGGGGGTGTGGGACAACAAGGGGGGGTGTGGGACAACAAGGGGGGGGTGGGACAACAAGGTGGGGGTGTGGGACAACAAGGGGGGGTGGGACAACAAGGTGTGGGACAACAAGGGGGGGGTGTGGGACAACAAGGTGGGGGTGTGGGACAACAAGGGGGGGGTGTGGGACAACAAGGTGGGGGTGTGGGACAACAAGGTGGGGGTGTGGGACAACAAGGGGGGTGTGGGACAACAAGGTGGGGGTGTGGGACAACAAGGTGGGGGTGTGGGACAACAAGGTGGGGGTGTGGGACAACAAGGTGGGGGTGTGGGACAACAAGGTGGGGGTGTGGGACAACAAGGTGGGGGTGTGGGACAACAAGGTGGGAGTGTGGGACAACAAGGTGGGGGTGTGGGGGGTGTGGGACAACAAGGTGGGGGTGTGGGACAACAAGGTGGGGTGTGGGACAACAAGGTGGGGGTGTGGGACAACAAGGTGGGGGTGTGGGACAACAAGGTGGGGGTGTGGGACAACAAGGTGGGGGTGTGTGGGACAACAAGGTGGGGGTGTGGGACAACAAGGTGGGGGTGTGGGACAACAAGGGGGGGTGTGGGACAACAAGGTGGGGGTGTGGGACAACAAGGTGGGGGTGTGGGACAACAAGGTGGGAGTGTGGGACAACAAGGTGGGGGTGTGGGACAACAAGGTGGGGGTGTGGGACAACAAGGGGGGGTGTGGGACAACAAGGTGGGGGTGGGGGTGTGGGACAACAAGGTGGGGGTGTGGGACAACAAGGTGGGAGTGTGGGACAACAAGGTGGGGGGTGTGGGACAACAAGGGGGGGGTGTGGGACAACAAGGTGGGGGTGTGGGACAACAAGGGGGGGGTGTGGGACAACAAGGTGGGGGTGTGGGACAACAAGGTGGGGGTGTGGGACAACAAGGGGGGGTGTGGGACAACAAGGTGGGGGTGTGGGACAACAAGGTGGGGGTGTGGGACAACAAGGTGGGAGTGTGGGACAACAAGGTGGGGGTGTGGGACAACAAGGGGGGGGGTGTGGGACAACAAGGTGGGGGTGTGGGACAACAAGGTGGGGGTGTGGGACAACAAGGGGGGGTGTGGGACAACAAGGGGGGGTGTGGGACAACAAGGTGGGGGTGTGGGACAACAAGGGGGGGTGTGGGACAACAAGGGGGGTGTGGGACAACAAGGTGGGGGTGTGGGACAACAAGGGGGGGTGTGGGACAACAAGGTGGGGGTGTGGGACAACAAGGTGGGGGTGTGGGACAACAAGGTGGGAGTGTGGGACAACAAGGCGGGGGTGTGGGACAACAAACCAAGGCTACCCACAAAACAACTCACTCCTGTCGCAGGCGCGTCTCCCGCGAGAGGGACCGGACCCTCCTCCAGTAGTCGAGGCTAGAGGCGTCCCTGGTGGGGCTGGGACTAGCCCTGGAGTCCAAGGGACGGTGTCCCTCGGAGGCTGCGACACAGCGCCGTGACCTGCTCCTGGTGCGTGACTCTCCATCCTCCCCGGCGCCGCTGGGGAAGCTATCGTACACGGTTAAGGAAAGTGTCGTACACACCGGAGAATATAACATCACATTTGATTCACTTCAATATATAAACAATGCACTTTGACTATGGAAAATATGACTTTTCAAGGCCATGAAGGTTTTAGTCTATCACAACCTGGTTGATACTCATGGCTGTTAACTTCGACATTATGTTTGTAATTATGTGAGGAGAGGTACATAGGCATACCATGACTGGTGTGTGTGCGTGTGTGTGTGTGTGTGTGTGTGTGTGTGTGTGTGTGTGTGTGTGTGTGTGTGTGTGTGTGTGTGTGTGTGTGTGTGTGTGTGTGTGAACTAACAGGTTCTCTACGGGTTCAGTTTGGGGAGAAAACCTGTTATTCTGTAATTTCCTGTAGGAGGAACAGCTGGTGTGATATAGAAGTAGACACGAGGACATGTCCCCGGACTTGGGTAGACACGAGGACATGCCCCCGGACATGGGTAGACACGAGGACATGCCCCCGGACATGGGTAGACATTGAGGTATACTCATTGACATAAGAGAAAGCTTCGTTACTTTTTCCTACCACTACCACCACTACCACTACCAGCAATCAACCACCACTACCAGGAATCAACCACCACCAAGTCAAATTTCCGCTCACATGATTGGCTGATCGTGATGACGTAATGACTTCTTCCACCACTCAGCTGCGTCCTTCCTGGCATCGTTGGTGTGATAAAATATTGAGTCCCACTGTCCATAATTATATAAGCTCATGTTCTAAGCTTCATCACTCACTACAGCTTCACGTCTTAAGCTTCATCACTCGCTACAGCTTCACGTCTTAAGCTTCATCACTCGCTACAGCTTCACGTCTTAAGCTGCATCACTCGCTACAGCTTCACGTCATAAGCTGCATCACTCGCTACAGCTTCACGTCATAAGCTTCATCACTCGCTACATCTTCACGTCTTAAGCTTCATCACTCGCTACAGCTTCACGTCTTAAGCTTCATCACTCGCTACATCTTCACGTCTTAAGCTTCATCACTCGCTACAGCTTCCCGTCTTAAGCTTCATCACTCGCTACAGCTTCACGTCTTAAGCTTAACCATTGACTAGCGCTGTAAGGAAGCAAAACACGCAGCTAGAGGATGTAGTAAATAAGGGATAACAATGGTATTACTAATTAAACCTATGTCACAAGGCAAACAATACCTGCCGAAGACAATCACGTCGTTACAATCCTAACAATCATAGTCGCTACTGGACTCAGAACATTCAATTTTGTTCAAAGTTTAGAGCCGTTTAGAATGATCTTCCACACCAACGGAAAATTTTTAAATTTTAAATTTTCCGTTGACTGTCTTAGAGGTATCGGAAGGCTCCATAGAAACATAAATGATCATTTAGGCCAAAATTCAGCGTTGATAGGCCTTAAGTCCAACAGCAAACTATCCCTCACCCCCTTTCAGCATACCACTCAGATTATATCAGCAGGAAGGGTGGTATTTTCTCTTGACAAGCCGCTGTGGAGTGTGACAAGGCTATTCTTGCAACACAGGGCCAGGGGGGAGGCAATAATGGGAGCCGCGTCCTGCACCAGCTGCTACCACTACCACCAATACCTCCATCACTACCCACCTGCAGTACCACCACTACCACCAATACCACAGTCCCCACCTACACTACCACAACCTCCGCCCGCGTCGCATATATTCCCTCTAAAATCTGTATTGCAATTTCCGTTAGAACCTCCACGTCAAACAGCGCCAGTACCATCAACAACCTGGCTGGTACCAGCACTACCACCACCACAACCACCACTACCATTAGTCACCACCACAACCACTACCACCAGTCTCCATGCACATTCCGCTGCGGTCATGGTAACAGTTTGGGTGCATTGATTTACTCACACACACACACACACACACACACACACACACACACACACACACACACACACACACACACACACACACACACAAATAGAGTGGTAGACGGTTGGAACAAGTTAAGTGAGAAGGTGGTGGAGGCCAAGACCGTCAGTAGTTTCAAAGCGTTATATGACAAAGAGTGCTGGGAAGACGGGACACCACGAGCGTAGCTCTCATCCTGTAACTACACTTAGGTAATTACACTTAGGTAATTACACACACACACACACACACACACACAGTAAATCAATGCATCTTGATAGTATGAGGCTACAAGATGACCTAAGCAAACTGAAGAAATGGTCCAAGAAATGGCTACTAAAGTTCAACCCAAGTAAATGTAAGGTAATGAAACTAGGGGGAGGAAATAGGAGGCCAGTCACTGGATACCGAATAGGAGATGAAGTCCTTCACGAAACGGACAGAGAGAAAGATCTAGGAGTTGATATCACACCAAACCTGTCTCCTGAAGCCCACATCAAAAGAATAACATCTGCGGCATATGCGAGGCTGGCTAACATCAGAACAGCCTTCAGGAACCTGTGTAAGGAATCATTCAGAACCCTGTATACCACATATGTAAGACCAATCCTGGAGTATGCGGCCCCAGCATGGAGCCCTTACCTAGTCCCAGAACTAAGAGGCATGAGTTACAAGGCCATATAAATGTAACACATATTTATAAATGACCTATCTACTGGAGTAAAGCCTTACATGTCGATGTTTGCAAATGACGCACAATTCATGAGACGAGTTGTGACAGATGAGGAGAGTAAGATTCACCAAGATGACTTAAACAAGATGCAGAGAAGGTCGGAGAAATGGCTGCTGGAGTTTAATACCAGTAAATGTAAAGAGGGAACAGGTGACAGAAGACCTAAGGACCTCCTAACAGGTGGTCAGGAGACCTAACCACGAGATGGAGAGGGAGGTGGTATAGGGACGCTATACCTGCCTATAACGACCTCATAAAGAGACCTGGGAGTGAGACTAGCACAACACCCAACTCCTGAGGCTCATATGACTAGCATAACGTCTGCAGCGTACTCTACATCAGCAAAAGTCAGAACATCCTTAAGGAATCCAAAAAAGAGGCATTTAGGGCGCTTTATACAGCCTATGTGAGACCAGTCTTAGAGTATGCAGCCCCATCATGGAGTCCACACCTGAAGAAACACATAAGGAAACTGGAAAAGGGTGCAGAATTTTGCGTGGAGGCAATGAAAGTTGAATTTTCTTATGCTAAAAGAAAACTTCCTAACGTCTCTGTGACTCATCTGAGTTTCCAGCTTACATCCATGTCCCCTCGTTCTGTTACTATTCCGTGTGAATTTCGTCTCAGAATTGCAAGGGATGGGATATGAAGAGAGACCGAAGGAACTGAACCTGATGACGTTATAAATAATGAGCGAGAGAGAGAGAGGGGAGACAAATATAGAGAACATGCAAATTTGATGTTGATATTCAGGAGAGAAAAGTTGGATTCG